AGCCGAAGAAAGTAATCGACTCGTCTCCCGGAAGATAGAGGGTAATCTCCCGGTCAAGGCACCTGATATCAGCATGATAAAAAGAAAGCCAATCCATCCCGAGGATAAGATCGAAATCCTTCATCTCGAGAATGAACGCGTCGGCGGTCAATACTCGTCCACCGATGGAAAGGCTAAGATCTGTAGCTTTGGCTGAAGTCACTATCTTTCTTCCCGAGGCTAAACTGACCTCGAGAGGATCGACAGCGGTGACTGCATGAACTCCGATGGCGTCGAGACACCGTCGGGAAATGAAGGTGTGCGTGGCTCCGGTATCAAATAGAGCGAATACAGGAACATCGTTAAGAACGATCATCCCGGACATTGTACCTGGTTGCTGTGCTGCCTCTGCCTGGTCGACCGCATAGACCCTGGCCTGCTGCCTGCCTCTCTGCTGCTGCTGCTGCTGCTGCTGCTGCGGTCTCTGTACCTGCTGTCGTGGCTGCTGTGGCTGTGGCTGCTGAGGCTGCTGCTGAAGCTTCTTCGGGCAACGACTCGCGAAATGTCCCGGCTCCTGGCAGAAATAACAAATATCCTGTCCGGCACGACACTCTCCCCTGTGAAGACGGCCACAAGTCGGGCATGGTGGAATCTGCTTCTGTCTCGTCCTCCGGTCTGCCTGTGCACCCTTCGCCTTCCTCTTCTTGTCCTTTGCTGGCTGCGGAGCTGGTAGAGCTGGTGGTACTGCAACGGGCTGAGCTGGGGCAACTGGCTGAGTACGGTCACGAACGGCCTCCCTCCTAATGCTCGCGTCAACCTCCTGGGCGATAGAAACGGCTCATGCATATGTCTGAGTCCCGTGTCCCACAATGTTATGACGGACTGCTGGGTATAGTCCATCAATGAACCGCTGAGCTCGCTGGGCCTCCGTACGAACAAGATCCGGTGCAAAACCTGCAAGCCTAGTGAACTCACGCTCGTACTCATCGACAGTACGAGTGCCCTGCTGAAGCGTCAAGAACTGGCGCTCCATCTCTGCCCGATAGTACGAAGGGTAGTACTTGTCGCGGACAAGGTCCTTGAACATGTCCCACGTACAACCCGCCTTTTCACCGGGGCGCATGCTCCAGTAGGAGTTCCACCAGAGCCTCGCGTCACCAGTGAGCTGAAGCTGAGCGCAGACTACGCGGAATCTATCGGGGCATTCCATTACTTCAAAGATAAACTCCAACCCCTGAATCCATTCGTCGACGATCTGAGGGTCGCCCTGACCAGAGAACTTCTCTGCGTGATAGTCGCGAAACTGGGCGACTACCGTAGCCTGAGTAGGACCACGCCGAACGGGCTCTTCACGTGGCGGCATCTGAACATTAAGAAAAATTTAACATTACTGAATATGCAATAGCATTACTGACTGATTACTAGACACACAGATCTCTTGACGAGTTGCCAAAATTGGCTGGTAATTACTGACTGAAAACCTGAAGAACTCTAGAGTTATCTTGGGAAAACCCTAACATCTAGAGTTATATCTGAATGCCTGAATTCTAGAGTCATGTC